ACCTAACATATTCTTTGTCATGGCATGTCATTGGTACATTTTCAACATCTTCACAGACATTGACTCCGATGCAGCAAGCAGTGCTTTCATTCCACTGCTAGGTGAATGCAATGGTTTGTTATTATTAAATGTGCATGGATTTACAAAACATAAAGTAATTGGAAGCTTGCCTTTCTTGTAGTCATAGTAATGGTCTACACCGGTTCGTGCAGTTATTAACCATTGGTATCCAATAAAATTCAAATATGTACATGGAGTTACATTCTACGGAACCAATTTGCATTTTTCCTCAACTTCATCAGTGTCCATCTACCACGACAGACGCTTCAGATAATAGAATTGCTCTCTGATAATAATGATATATGGATGGTTTTAAAAAAAGTAGTACAGCTCAAATACGCATTTAAATGTTTGATTTAGGATATTCTTTTTGAAAATCAGCTAGTTTTAAACAAGAGCGAATGCATGCATTGCTAAAATCAATGGCAATAAAACGTGTAACTTAACCACTTAACGAATACCAAGATTGCGCCACACATACTTTTGAGGAAGCCCACAAATGACCATGATTTTCATCTATAGTGTTGGCAGGGTTAATTCCTCTCACCCAACCGCTATCACGGTGGTGCTAGATTCAACAATAATTTTTATTAGTCGCGGCACTACTGTCATGTGGCCACCCATGCATTGAACAACCACCATTTCAGAGGTGACGCTTGATGTGCCTGGTTGATAATGTAGCAGGTGTTCAATGCATTCCAGACACAGTTTCCTAAAGTTGATGCCGATGCGGCTATTTGCCAAAAGGGTAAGTAGATAGAGTAATGAATTTGGATCTGTTTGTTACAAAAGCTGCAAAACGAGTATAATTTACCTACTTATTTAGCAAAAGCTCTGTCAGATTATGCGCAATTTAATTAAATGCTTTCTCTGCAATATACTCACCTCTCAAAATTAGCAGATTTTGCCTATCATCTTCGTTTCTACAAACATTAGAAGTCAACTATCGCATGTCATTTGCCAATTGATAACAAAATTGGTATTTCACTTATGAAAAACTGCTAAAATACTGGATCCTCGACGAAGTAGAATGAGGATTTAACTGATATGCCTCCAAAATTCTGCCTGCAATCTCCTCAAGCCTGATGCATGTGACAATTTTAATTTTTTCCTGTCGAAGACGCCTCAGCAATATGTAAACTATATGTGTAAACTATAAAAGCAAGTAAACCAACACAAAATTTGTAAAAATGATAAGGTGTAAAAAGTCGCATTGAAAATCCTCTCAGGCTATTTATCTGCCATGATTGCATGAAATAGGACAAAATCCATCAGTCACTTTGACACAGAATAAGGGCTGCACTATCATTGCAGCATTAAACAAAAGCATAAGCCAAAGATAACTTTCCAGTGATCTCGATTGTTTGTCAACGGAATATCCATTCTTATCACGATAATAATTACGGTTGAAAGCAAATTTTGCGCTTGAACTACTTTTACATCAACAGTCTTGAAAGATTCATTTATAATTTACCACTACCTCTTTGTTCGGACCGGCTATTATCCTTTAGCTCAGTGTATTAATATGTGACAGTGCGTCAAAAATTGCAGTTTTCGGATAGTTGGGCCATTAACTAGTAATATTTTATATTCGTGTAGGCGAATTTTACCAATCTTTTTTGCACTGATTATAAGAAAA